GTCATTTATTTGTTACAAAAATTTAAGTTTAAAGTTTGATTAAATAATATTTTTATATTTAATATTTTTTTTAATAAAGTACAAACTTGATCGTACAATTTTCAAACCAGAATGCATGCATAAAATATGGGTTCTGATTATAGTGTCATTTAACAAATCCAAACCAAAGTGCTATGAAGTTGATTCAAAGAAAAGGCTTGATGTATAGAAAGGACTACAAACAAAATAAAGCAGATTTCGTTGAAGTTAAAATGACACACAACAGATATTTATATTTTAGTGTAATATTTTTAAAACTCATCCTAATAATGGATAGTAGCTCAAGATGAGAAATCAGAGAGATTAGCTTGAAATGCAGTTGAGTTCATTATGTTCATGTAAAAGCAAATACTCTTAGGAAAGGTATCAATCCAGCTCTCCCTCCCCCAGATATGGATTAAATATCAGGGCAGTTTGGGCTCTCTAGCCATGGTTGGCAATCAGTCTAAGAGAAGGAGAACTCTGAATTCAAAACCATATGTCGCTCTGATACCACAATAGAGATAATTTAAGCAAGATCTTAATTAGGTTTCGACCAAAGTGCTTCATTAAAAAGAGTTCATTGAACAAGAGTTGTATGAGGATCCTGCAATGGATTAAGCATCTTATTTAACTTTCTAATTTTTTTTGAATAATTTGTTTTAGCCTATTTCATATTTTATTATCATTCACACTGATCTCATCATAGCCAATAAAGATTATAAAATTACCTTGTAATGATCAATCATTAATATAAATTAATTTTTATGTATGTAAAAATATACTGGTTATATCACACCTGCATGTGATTAATAATATAATGAACAGGGTTCAACTTTTTTTGCTTCATGAAATGGAAAAGTATCAATTTATACAGATTTTCTTTAAGAAAATCATTGTGAAACAAAGGAAAATAAGTTACATTAAAATCTTGCTTATCACTTTAAAAAGGTTCAGGTTAAAAAAAAAAAAAAAAAGCTAATAATTTAAGAAATGCAATTTTAATAATTTAATTAAAAACTATACCAATCTTCAATGTCACAAACTTAATATCAAGATGTAGATTCAAGTGATAAAAATGAATAAAAAAGGAAATGTGTTAGTAATTATAGAACAAAAAATTTCAGTTTTAATAATTTGTACAACAGATTTTAATGCTCATTAAAGTTTTTAGGTTGCAAATTTATCTAAAAATGGTCATCAGTTCCTAAAATTTTACTACCAGGGCACAAAAAACAGATTTTTATTCATCAAGACAAAGCAAAATTAAGGGCAAGTTAAATTTAAATTAGTAACAAAAGGTAAAATATTCAAGTCTGAAGAACAATAAAAAGGTGGAAATACTCATTAAAAAAAAAAAAAAAATCACAAGTGTAAATACTTTATTTGGTACATACGAAATGTCTTGTTATTTTAAAAATTTTCCTCATATAAGTGGATAGTGAGGTCAACATAAAGTGGCAACAATCTTTCATGTTTCATGATTAAAGCATGAAGGACTATTGCCACTTGTTGATCTCAGTGACCACTTTTATATTTACATATGCTCTATCTTTGATATTCAGTAGTTTTAGCTATAAATATAGCATACATGAAAAACCATATTTTTTCACACACACACACACACACACACACACACACACACACACACACACACACACACACAAACTAATTGAGTAAATTGGTTCACTAGTAAAAATAGGTAAATTTTTTTGTCGGGGGGATAATTTTGTAGATTAGTATTTTTTAAACCTTCATTAGGCTGCAACATGTCAAAATTGAAAAATATTGTTCAATTTAGAAGAGGGAATCGCATTCATAATATTGATACAGTGTAAAAATGATCCCCGCCTTTTAGACAGTGCCTTACATCTTCTAAATGTGAACATCAGTGTGTCATTGTCACATTTTTTCAACTTTACTCCTAGAGGCTATAGCCCAACATATACCATTTTGAAATATAGGGTGACTGTGAGAAAATTAAAAACAATCTGGGCCAGCAATCCTGAAATCCTAAATTTTCATTAATCTGTTCGTTTTTGGTTATTTTTTTTTTAATGATTTTTTGCAACAAATTTTTTTGTACAATAACAATTTTTATAACTTGGAAATATATTTGGGAATAATCAAAATTAATTGTGAAATCCAGCAAAAGTCACCCATGAAATAAAAATAATTGTTTGTATGGAAAGTAAGGACCTACATACATGAAATTGTCTTTAAATTAAATGGCAGCAGAAGAATTATCATTGAACTTTAAAGAGGTAAGCTTAAATAATGGATAGTGGCTCAGATTGAGGAATCGGAGAGCTGAGCTTGAATTGCAGTCAAATCTATTGCATTCACTTACGTGCTAATACCCTTGAGAAAGGTAAGAATCCTCGTTGTCTCCCTCCAGCTATTGGTAAATAGCAGGACAGACCAGGTTCTATAGCTTTGGATGGCAAATGGTCTACCGCAGAGAGAAATGGCAACCTACTGTGGGAAAAATCTGCCTCATCAGTCATGTATCAAAAGATACACAACTGCTTAAGCGTGTATCACGCATGGCACATAAAACTGACTGACTGTTGTCACCGATTGCATCTATTCCTCCCTACCTATTGTGATGAAGGCCTAATCAAGAGCTCTACCACAGGAGCTATCTTAAATGCTGCCCAAAAGGGCGGCTTTTAAGCTAGTCATTAAAAAAAAGTCAAGTTTGAAACTGTGCTTACATAATTGATATCTGCATACAAAAGGAACATTTTTGATGCAAAAAAATAGAAAAATAAAAAAGAATACTTTTAAAAGAAGAAAAAGTATATATAAATATGTTTTATTTTTTAAAAATATTTTTAAACAAGCAGCAATTGTTTGTCTGACGAAATGTAGTTTCATTTTTATATTTTTGCACATTTTAAAAATATTTTGTTGTTTTTTTTTTTAACTCATGTAAAATTGTGCTCTTTAATTAAATTTAAAAATGTATATATCCGCTTGTTCTTTAAGTAGGAATATTTCTGTAAAAAAAAAAAAAAAAAAATGAACCTATTTAGTGCATAATTTAGTGCATAATAATATGGCATGAAAATAGACAAAATTATAAATGACAAATAACTTGATTAGAAATTACTTCGAAAATTTAGATTAGAAGTGTTTTAAGTTGTATTAAAGTTAAACGGTAAAACTTTTCATGTGAAGAATAAGATGTTTAATAGGAGACACTTGCAATAAAAAGAAAACCACCAATAAGAATATTTACGCGATTATGAAAAAGTTTTGCTACCAAATATAAAAAAAAAAAAAAAAAAACCTGATAAATTACAAATGTATATTTGACATTTAAGAAGAAGGAACACTAAAAGCAAAATACATTGAAGAGAGCTTCAAAGAGATTCACCATAACAAAGTTCTCTGGTTTAAAAAAATATAAAAAATAAAAATCCATACCATCCATAAAGGAAGTCAGAGTCAAGTGTCAAATTCAGAAGTAAAAACACTAAGAGTTACATAAAAAAAAATATTTACTTAATTCATAATAATTGCCACGTTCAACCTTTAACGAAAAACATAACATAAATGCCAGAAAAAAAATTATCAAAAAGAAATGCGTAACATTAACTTAAAATTGGCGTAGACTGAAAAGGGCCCCTAAACAAGAAAACTTAAATTGTATAGCTAAAATAAGGGAGGCAATTCATATAGAAGTGTTTATTTTAAGACCTTTTATTTCTCTTGAGCACAGTTTTAAGACGTGAGTAAAATAAAAATAAAAGCAATAGAAAGAGAGAGAGAGACACACACACACAGATTTAACTTTAAAAAGATAACTAACGTTAAATTTTGGGTTTGTGTTTCAAGAAAAAAAAAAAAATTCTCAATCCAATATTTCCAATTTGACACATGTGTAAAAACTGGAGTGGAAAACAAGCCGAAAGTAAACTGACTATAGGAAAAAATTCACCCAAAATAAAAATTCTGCACGATGCCGTCTCACATACATCAATTCTAATGTTTGGTTAAATTTTAGTCGAAGGGGTTTTAGACCGAAAACATTTAGCACTCCTTGTTGCAATTAATTACATTTATTTTATTTCCATTATTCTTCTATATTTAATTTTTTAAAAATGAAGCGCAAATTTAAAATTTCAAGTATCAAGATTCAAAAGTCAACACATTTTGTTGTTTTTAAAAAAAAAAAAAAAAAAAAAAAAATTGAATATATAAAAATAAAAGGAGTTACAATTTTTACACAACATGCAAAAATAGATTTGAACTGATATGTAAATAAATACATTCTTTCGAAAATAATTGTTTCGCAGTATTATTGAAGTGTGTTTCTTTATTTAAACTAAAAACTAAAAAGTCTTTTACAAAAAAAAATTCTCCACAATAATAATTTTTTCTGCAGTTTTTTTAAAGGACGGAAATATATAAACATTAAAAATTAAAGCGTATACGTACTTACTGAAACAAATTTAGCGAAAGAATGAATTCACGAGTCAAAATAACGAACATATACAAATTGGCAACAATGAAAATATTACAACTTCAACAAATAAACAAAAAGAAAATACTTGATCTGAATTGGGGTTAGAATTAAAGAATAAGAGAACTTAGGAGGAAAACAAATTGTATTTTTACCAACATGTTTGTTATGTAGACAAGGATAATGAGAACAAGTGATTTTAAATAAAACATTTTCATATTTGGACAAAAAAAAAATTAAAAAATAGAAAAGAAAAAGCTATCCACATGGTGACAAGTTCAGAGTTAAATCTTTAAGAAGCTGATACAAAGACGGAGAAAATCGTTTAATATTTCAGAATATAGAAATTTAGTTTTACAGTTAAAAATAAATAAATAAAAGGGATGGGCTCAAATAGAGATTAAAAATATCAGCCGCCCACTTTATGATTACTGTTCATATACAAGGCAATTCGGGGGTTTAGCATTATTTGTTCTGATGTTGATAATAATAGTTGTTTACATATACTCACATATCCCTACAAGTAGCAGAAGTGAGAAATTTAAATGTACATAAATGAACCAGAAACATCATCCAAACACGTTCGACATGGTGCGTTGTTCCAAAAGTAGAGATGCAGGTCAGAAATGAATAAGAAGAAACAGTAAACGAAGCGTTAGCCACACAATTCAGCCATATTCAAGGCGACCAGGAATAACGAAGCGAATTGTAAATATCAAGTAAAGATAGCAGCAAAAAAAAAAAAAAGGAAAAATCCTCAGTCACATATTTTGATCAAAGTTTTTGTAAAACCACGATAATACTCACGTTGAAATGGTTATGAGGATTTTTTATTCGTTATTCATAGCAATTAAGAGCACCTAGTGTTTTTAATAACAGATACCTAAAATAGTAATGATTATTATGTAAATAAATACGAAACTAATAGTCCTGAAAAGTCTTAATTAAGTAAGACATATTTAAAGGGGCCAGAGGTAACGAACCGAACGTAGTGGTGGGAGAGATAGAAATGTGTAAAGACACTAGTTTTGGCAATAGCCGTCGATACGCATAATTTCATTGCTTAGTACTTTTATTACTAAAGTAAAGTTTAACTTGTACAAACCTTGCTTTTTTTTATAAAACAACGAACAATTTTAAAAAAAAGTAATGGTTTGTAATATAAGCAATAACCGTATAAAATTTCTTTTTGATAATCAACAATTCAAATCGAAATGTAACAACAGGGAACGAATTATTATGAAACTAGTTGAAAATAAATTGCAAAATAACTGACGACAATTGATCGCATTTTAAAACAAAGAATTGTTTACGTGATCTAGAATACAAACATGACCGCGTGGTTTACATTTGTTATTTTAAGCTGAAACATGAACTAATAACATCTACACCATTGAGTGCGTCAACCAATCCACAACAAAATGTAAATATAAACAAACACTTAGGGTAAAAAAAAATATTAGTAACGTGTGCGTGTCTTATTTATTTACCTAGTCATAAAGTTAAAAGCGTAATACCATACGATACTATATTTTGTTGCTTTCATGTTTCTTAAAAGAAATACTACCAACATGGAAGCATGAATTTTAAGAAGCAGCAATACAAAAGTTGACACTTTCTTGTTTTACCTTCGCCTGTTTCTTCTGAATTCTTTTAAGTGGCAACAGATTCAGTGACAATCCCATTACAGAAGAGCCTCTGTTTAATAATAATGTTGTTGTTGCTGTTTTTTTTTTTCGAAAAGTCCAATACGAGCACCTTAGTATTGTAATTTGTGGCAGCAGTGATAACAATAATAGGATACCAATAGGAACTTGTAGTAGCAGTTGTAGTAATAATTACACAAGTAGTAACATAACAATAAGTAGTTTACTTAGTTGCTTATCAACACTATTGCTGCTAATACAACTAGTGATTGCTTTGTTGAACAGCGTAAAAACAAAAAGTTAACCACAGTAAGAAAAATAATTAAATAAAAAAACTAAGATAATCATTTTTAGTAATCAAACTGATATTTGTTTGTTTACTTATTTTTATCAGTTCAGTTTTTGTGTTTAGTGTTTATTTATCCTTCACCCGAATGTCCCCACAATGATTCGTACAGCAACAGAACATATATTTTTAATTAGAATTTAAAAATTAAAATTAAAACTAAACGTCTGTTTAAGTGTTTAATGTTTATGTTTACATTTTAACTTTTTAGTAAAAAGTTTTTTTTAAAATTACTTGTTCAAGAGGAGCAAAATAAAAAACAAAAAATGTTTTCAAAAATTCTACTTCCTCACTTTATTTATGTTTATTTTTATAATTTATTTGTCATTTGCGAAAGAAGAAAGACAGAGGAAACAATGTGTAAAAAGTCCATAGTCATGAAAATTTAAAATTACACCAAAAAAGAAATATGACGACACCAACGTACAAAGTAAAAAAATCAAGTTATTTTGAAAGCATTTAAGTAGTAAAAACGCGAAGAAAAAATAAAAATGTCATTATTGCTATAAAGAATCTTCTTAAATAGTAACTTGGTTTAAATAAGTGAACAATTAACTTTTTTTTCTTTCATAACCTTTTTCTCACTGAGAAAGAGAAGTTTCTCAGGGTGTTTTCTCAGACAGCCTTATGCCATACTAGGTTTTGTCCTAAATTTCCTATCCCTCGTTATTGCTTAAGCAAGCAATCTGCTTTGTTTATTGACTAGTGAAACTGCTGTTTCTGTAACCACTAAGTGTAGTGTAGTGTATAATAATATCCCTAGAGAAGACATTGTTTTATGTTTGTTGATATTTTTTTTTTACTTAGTCAAATTAAAAACCCGATTGCGAGGTTATAGTAAAAAATTATTATTGTTTAGTTTAATTATCAAGCAAGGTTGTGAAAAGTTCTTGACCCGACCCACTTCCTCAAATCCGACCAAACTTCAGATTTCATTTTTGGAAACGACCGAGAACTTTTCAATAACACTTCCTAGTAGTATTGACTATTATTGATTGGGTATTACTATTAGTATATTAAGTTAAAAACAAAAACTTTAAAAAAAGTAATTAAGAAAAATAGTTTTTAAATTTCAGTTTATTCCCGCGACAAATATAATCTACTTCTTAAACTTTTTAAAAAAATTATTTTCCCAAACCAAAGAAAATTCAATATTTTCAAATGTCAATTATTAACATATGTATGTAAATTTAAAATGAAATAAGAAATTTCAAGTTTGTCTTTTTTTTTTTTTTTGTTAGTGCGCGTGTATGTTTTGATATCTTATAAACCTCCATTTTTGCCGCATGGCTGCGCATGCGTGATGACTTTTTTTTTTTTTTTTTTTAGAAAATGTAATAAACAGAAACTCTAAAGGGGTTACTACTTTGCTTTTTTATGCGTTCATTTTTTTTTATTGAGATTTTTAAAATAATTAATTTGGATAAATAAAGTAGTTTTCTTTTACTAAAGTTTAAAATAAGAAATAAATACATAGAAATTTATTACTGGTGGTACTACAGAAAAAAATCCAATGTAAATAGGAAAAAATAAAATAAGGTTGTTTTGACAACATTGAGATTTCTGTTGTTTTTTTTATTATTTTATTTTGTGTTATTTCTCGTGCTTTGTTGTTGCTTCCCTAGTCAAACTGACACTTAAAATATAAATTTAAGAAAAATAAAGCATACTTTAAAATAAAGATGAGAAAAATATAAACTAAACAATAAGAAATAAACCAAAACAAAACCAAAACAAAAAAGAATCAAAAAACATTGAAGTGAACAGCAGAAAGTAACAAGATGATCAAATCCCGGAATTGATTTCATTTGAAAGTGCGCCATGTATCTGTTCATTACTAAGTGTAAAAAAAAAAAAAAAAAAAAATTAAAATCTACACAAAAATAAAAGCAAATTACTTAGTGGTTCACTTATAAAAAAAAAAATTGGGTAATATTTTTTATTAGCATTAAAACTTGCTTAGGTCGCAATAATTGTCAGGATCGAAAAATATTGATTTGTTATCGATTTAAGGAGGGTCCTGTAGTTACAATACAGTGTGAAATCGATCCCTGACTTTTAAAGAGTTATCTGAACCTGCCAATTATTTTAAGTACGAAAACAAATTTATTTGAGGTGGGATTACAAAAAGATTTCGCTTAAATAACGAACAACTGGATAAAAAAAAATTATGTAAAGAGCAAAAATTTAAATAAATTATAATAAAATTATTCATCCGTTTATTTTTATTTTGAGATAAATAATTACGAACTTCAAACGTTTTTGTGCTTCTGAAAAAATCTTATACAAAAGAAGTTTTAAAAGTATTTTAAGAAAATATAAAATTTTGGAAAATTAAAAAAATATGCAAATTATCAAGGTTGTTATCAGATTGTCAAACTTGGTATTTATAAGTTAAGTGACTTAGCCTAAGTAACCCCAGATACAACACTGCCAGGGAAAGTTGAAAGTAATATTAGCTGAAGCCCCAGCAGTACCACTCCTTCAGGAGCGGGGCTGGGATCTTTATCTGGTGCCTGAGGTATCCCCAAAAATGGAAGTTCCAAGTGGGCTTGAGCAATTTTTCCATGGTATTGCTGATAAACCGACATTAAACCTTGTCACATTCAATAGGAATGTGGGTGCACAAAAAATACCCCAGATAAGGAACGAGTCCACAGGGTATGTGATCCTCTTGTATCCACTATCCTGTTTTCATTTTTAGTAGGTAATCCTAATTCATGGATTCCCAAAGGACATTTGTGAAAAGGTGAATGCACCAAACTAGAGTAATGTTTCTCAATGTTTTTAAGCAACAGCACACCTAAAAGCAAATGAAAATATCATGATACAATTAGTAAAAATCTTTAAAGGGTATCTGTCTATATTTCTGAGATGAGGTATTATGTACACTATTTACCTTATTCAAACTATTGTCCTCATCTTTGTTGTCATATTTATCACAAGCTTGTCCTTCTTCAGGTAGTTGGAATGTTGAATTGAACCCTTTATTTTGCTCACTGGGGTAGACTGTTCTAGTTTTACGTGCCATGTCTAATAGATGTCAGTTATCAGTTATCTCCTGTTAATTCCCCTCTCCAAGTTCTCCACCACCTTAACCAGGTATTGAACTTTGGGTCCTGTCACTGGATCTAACTAATACCTTTATCCACTGTGCCATGTGTCCTTGAGGAGCATACAACGGCCGAAACGTTATGATAAATATGGCAACAAAGATGAGGACAATAGTCCGAATAATGTAAATAGTGTACTTTAAAGGGTATACATTTAAATGATATGAAATAAAATCATAGATATTTTTAAAAATACAGACACAAATATGAACTTACTTTATTTCAATGTTTCTATTCAACTATTTGTGCAGCTTATTTAGTGCGAAACCTGTGACTGGTGTTTTTCACAATTTCTTCAATGTTTGGTTGAATGTGCGATAAGCAGAACCTCATTTCTTCTTCAGTTGAGTGTAATCTTTCTTGCTTCTTATTATTGATGTTATTTAGAGTTGAGAAACCTAATTCACATAAATAAGAAGTAGAAAATTGCTATAAAACTGATAAAGCCTTTTTAGTTTAGCTAAT